GGAGATAATATCATTAATATTTGTTCATAGTATTTTAATGTTTCTAGTCCCTAGGGTGAGAGAGACCACATAAGCATCCACATTTACTGGGTGACCTCTCTGAGTCGTGCTTATTTCTTATTATATGCCCCATACAGATAAATGGACAGAAGAAAACATACCTGAATATTAGCTATGGTTGACTTGATGAAGTATAACTGACTTAATTTTTCTTTTTTTCTACTTTTCTGTATTTTTCAAGTTTTCTCTAGAGAGTACATATTATTTTTATACTGGGGAAAAAGCTTGGGAAAAAATAACAACCTTCTAAATCTCTTTGGATTAAGAATTTTCCAGATACCAAACAATCAAGTAAGTCCAATGTCTTCTGCCAGTTACGATAACTGAGTTTTATGGCTCTAGTTTCTAAACTTGGGACAAATTAAATGAACAAGCACGATTTACCTCTGTTATCAGCCAGCTGTCATCATTGTTATCAATGAGCCCTTACTAAGCACCTTCACTTTGCAGGAAGATAGATCAGAAACAGGATGAAAGCTCACTGTATAGTCAAGGTCTATGCTCCCCGGGAGAGAACACAGAGAAGCTGATAGGAAAGGTGGAGCAGGAAGACAGCAACAAAATTCACAGCAACACACAAGGGGCAGAACAGGAAAGAGAAGTTCAGTGACAGGTAGGAACAGAGACCAGGGTTTCACACACCAGTCTAATGCAAAGGTATAAAGACAAGATGAGATGGAGAAAAGAGAAGAGGTTAAGAATGATCAGTGAAAGGCAGTCACTGAGGTTTCCCCATATGTTATCTGAGTGGGGTTAAGTAGAAAGAAGGTGGCAGACAGCCACAGGGAATAAATAGAGAGTGTGACATTGTAACTCAAGAAGTCATAGTCTTGGATGGTAGAGAAGATTTATACACACATATGCACACACACCATACCTAAGTTCCACAAGCCAATATCATTTGAATAAATTAGTATAATTTCATAAATTAAATTTTTCTAAGTATGTACACAAATTGTTCAAGTAGGTTAAACAGATCAGTGTCCTTGTTTTTTAAAACTTGCCTTTAAAGGGCCCAGTTACATGACCCTTTCTGTAAGAATGAAAGGATTTTCAGTATATAAAACAGAAGACAATAGAGCAATTATTCAAACACCTGCTCATACCTTTCTTATAGCTCTGACAAACAGAAGCCATGTCATACCAACTGCTAGAGGGCTGACAGAGTACAAAAAAGGAAAGAAAACAAAAGGGTCCATGCCAGTCCTGCAAACTCAAGGAAGAAAACTTTGCAGAAGCAAAGAAACAAAAGAAGGAAAGAGAAGTGAGGCAAAGCCTATCACAGGACTGTGCTTGAGGAAATGAGCCACTGCCAGAGCCACCTGCACAGGGGTGACTGCTTGAAAAGTTGCTCTCACCAATCAGAGCTGCCACTCAGATCATCTGCCCTTATGACTTTCCCTTGACACGGACATTTGAAACTTCTTTTTTTTTCATCATAGCCGCTGCCCACACATGGTGTCTTACGACATCAGCGTCTTTCAAGACACCTCCACTGGATGACAAACTCGTTTTTTACGGTGCCTTCCGGAGACTCTCAAAGGGGATTTTATAAATGCCACACCGCTTACATTTTGATTCAGAATTCAAAACATTCCAAACATGTTCTCCACATCTGGAGAACAATCATTTACTGTTTCTGCATAAGGTAGTATCAGGCGAAAAGATAAAAGTATTTCCGTTACATCAACTGGAGCAAATAGTAGCCTCACATTTGTAGAGGACTTAACGGTCTATGAAATAGTTTCATGCACATAATTCTATTCCATTCCTCAAGTCATCATCACTCTTCCTAACCCTTAAGAGCCCTCCATTCCCAGCCACAGCTGAAAACATTTTAATGATTTTTCCATCCCCTTTGATAATAAAGACCAAAATCGTTATCATGGTATCTAATTTCTACCTCTAACTTTATCTCACAATGGCCTTTGCATTTCAGCTAAGCAGAACTTTTATCAGTTCCTCAAGTGGGCCACAGGACCTTTGCACATGTGTGTTAAAAGTTCTTTTCTACTCTCCATTTTGCCTGTTAATTCCTATGCAGCTCCACTACCACTTCCTCAAGGAAGCCTTTCCCAGTGTCCCTGACCAGGTCAAATCTCTTTAAGACAGCTCTACATGCCTTCCTTAACCTTAGGTACGTCATACATGTACTTAGTACTTAACAATCCATTATACATAGATTTGCATGTATGTATAGTTAACCCTTGATTAAGCACTAAGTCATATATGTACTCGACACTTAACAATCCATTATACATAGATTTGGGTGACTATTTGAATACCCTTTGTCTCTACCAGTAGACTGTAAGTTCTCTAAAGGTAGCAACTACATCTGTTTTTTGCTTATCAATGAAGTAGCTCAGTTCATGACTCATGTATTCCACAATATTGAATGAATGGATGAATGAATGAATGATTTCTGTGTAGAGAGATGTTAAATTTATATTTGATAAACGTAGAAACTGAGTCTCATTGAGTTTAGGGTATTTGATCAAGGAGTACAGAATACAGGTATTGATCCCAAGGTATTTGATTGCTGATTTCATGGCCAGGAAATGCATTATTCCAAGGACTGGGAATGTTGCATTGGCACATAGTATTGCTAGGTGCCTGGTGCAGACTTGTTGAATTGAAGACATGGACACAAAAATGAAAGTAGGAAGAAATAATTATGAGTCTCAATATTGCTTTCAGTGTGAAGAAAATACTCTTGGCTGTGACACAGGGCAGGGCACATCACCTTTCTAGGCCTTCGCTGAAGTGTGAACTAGATAATCTCTGCACTCTGCATATCTGGGATTCTGTGTTTCCAAATTCCTCATACTTTGGGTTCCAACAGCAGGCACCTACATGTAGTGGATGAGTTCCTTTAGCCGCCCAAATTTGACTTTGTTGTGGATCATTTTTAATGTATGCAAAGAGCAATTTTCATTATGCAACAAGAGGCAACTGTAGGAGCAATTACGTCAAGGATAATATATGGCAGTTATAGAAACAATGGGAAGTTAGTTGAGCCTCCTCTCCCAATCACCCAATTATGAGACCCTTGAAAATAGGGACCATGACTTAACTTATCATAACATACCTCCCACACACAGTTGTGTACCTGACTTCTAGAAAGTCAAATGAGTTAAATGTTAGATAGCAACATTAGTAGATTAATTCATTTTAATAGAAGAATGAGTCCTATTACATCAACCCATGTAATAAAATTTATTTTATCAGGGAGTTTTTAGTGTTCTCACATTAAACCTAAAGAAGTAACTGCAATGCTAGGAACTCAAACACTCTGATATGCCAATAATGGAGTTTTCAGAAGAGGTGGAGTATTATTCTATTTCTTACCTCGTAGCTGAAATTACGGAACTTTTTTTCCTACATCAGGCACAAAACTAGAGCTTTGCATGCATTATCTCATTTAATCTTCACACAAACCTATAGATTATTATTCCCATTTTCAAATAGAATATTTGAGGTATAAATAAATAAGTTACTTTTCCTAGGCCACAGGGTTAATAAGTGGCAGGGCTGAGACTTGAATTCAAGTCTTAAAATCTATACCTAAAACCTGAATTCCTTACCACCATGCTGTTCCCTTCCTAGTAACAGAGACAACCCTGGTATCTGAACTGTTAGTCAGAGTCTCTATTGTTTATATTCACCCCTTATTACTTTTAATTTATTGTGCATCTTACATAGAAACTTTCACTTAAATATTTCATTGTTCTACCTGGCAGAACCTCACCACCTTTACTAACACTTATTATCAACAATTTTAAGGATTCTCCATACCCCCCAATTTTAAAGATAAGAAAACTGAGACACGGAGCAGTTACATAACTTGGCCTAAGTAACAGAGCTAAGAAGGATAAGAACCCAGATTGAATCCAAGACATTTGACTCCAGCACCCAAGTGCTAACACATACTTTCTTAGGGCATTTCTGCATCATTGGAAAGTCTACACATCGAGGTGTCTGGCACTGTTACTCACGCTTAGTCAGTCCAGTTTCCATAACCAAAATAACCTGTAAGTGTGAATGCCTCTTTTTCAAAGGAAAAAATACCCATGTCTTCTTGTTTATAAAGAGGTGCTAAAGTCGGTGCCAAGTTGTACTTTTGCATCATCTGCTTTCTTTAGGAGGTCTCAGTTCTCCTTTCATCGCTAATTAGCACTGTTCTACATTAGACTTCACTTGATCCTTTTAGGAAAACACGGGTGAATAATCTCAATTCCATATTCATTTGCCCTGTTGGTCAGATTGTTTTGTTGTTGTTGTTGTTGTTGTTGTTTTACTGAGAGATAATTGTCTAGATGTGAAAGTTCCACAAATAAACTCTTGATGTAGTCATGGGCACTAATGTTTACTGAGTCTTTATATCAAATGCCAGGTGTCATGCTGAACTTCTTCACCCAGATCCCTCACTTATATAATCCTTTCATTAGCCCTGTTTTACAGCTGAACAGCTAAACCCCGAGAGGCTGAGAGCCTTGCCATGGAGCCCATGGCGGAACCACAGATATGACTGATTTCTGAATCTGGACTCTCACCTCTCTCCTCAGCGATTTTCAACTGGTGTGCTGCAAGAATTTTTAAAAACATGCAATACCTGACTAGTCAGGGGCACTGACCTCTTTTCCCTTAGGTTGTCAAATAAAAAAAGTGACAACAGGCAATACAACAACAGCGATTCAGTGTGACTGAATGCAAATGATACCTATTTTTTGGTCAGATCTGCAAAAACATATATTTTTTGACATGCCACAGAATTTTAGTAGTTTATGTGTGCCGCGAGATAAAAAAAATGTTGGAAAGCACTGACTCAACTTATTCTCATCCTCTACGGCCACTACTGTAACCTCTTCCCCACCCCCACCCTTGTAATTAAGAAAAGTTATCCAGACAGAATTTTTAAAAAATAAAAGTAAACAGAGTACCTGATAAGGCCCAGATCATCTCCATTCAAATCTACCATTTTCAAGACTAGCATTTCCTTGTCCGTATTTGAAGAATATCTAGTCACCAAAAGAAAGAAATTTAGTCAGTTTTATGTCAGAGCCTGGGCACCATGTATCACAAACAGGAGAAGCTGGCACAGAAACAAAACCCAACACGCATTCTCAGTAACTGAAGCTCCCTGACCTGCTGTAGTCCCATGAGTTGAGCCCAGGACTTCATTTCTCAGCTAAAGAAAGGCTTTGCAACTGTGATCAGAGTTAGCAGCATTAGATTGGCTAGCTGGAGATGAAATATACATTTTTATGTAATATACACAATGTTATATAATATGAATTTCTTACAGAAAGGATTTCTCTTTGAAATTTCTACTCATATCAAATTTTAGTGGACTCTCTTAAAAATACCAGGAAATATGCAAAACCAAAAGCATTCATAACCTGTGACTTAAAATGTTCTTTCATGTTCTTTCAAGGGACAGCAAATTATATTTTCTAAAAATAAAAAATCAACTCTTTTGAAAGCCATTGAAAAATACGCAGACAAATGTAAAATGTTAAGTGGTCAAGTTGGACTAGGACAAAATAATCATCTTCCTTAAGTGTTCCATTCAGTTATTCTAGTTTTCTTTCTTGTTCTTCCAGTTTTTTAATTCACTTATCTCCTCTCTCTTCCACATTCACTTGGACTAAGATGAATTAAAGAGAGTTACTTATTAACAAATACCTGTTATGCACATTTTTATCTCCTTTTTACAGAATAAGAAACTGAGAGCCAATAAATTAAGGTAAGTAGATCACTTATCACCATCATCATATATATCCTAAAGATCTCCCAACTAGGAAGTGATAGAGCTCAGGCGAGACTATAGTGCTGTCAGATTCCAAAGCCTGGAGTCCTTCAAATATCCACACCGACTCCCACAGCCCTCCAATGGGAAGATACATGTGTAGGTTGGTGTGTGTTTCTACATTCACTTTTTATTTCTGCTTGTCTTAGATTATAAACATGTTTTTAAATTATTTATCTTTAATACTCTTTTAGGATCCCACTATATTCATCAAGTAACAACCCTGTTCTTAATTTTGTTGCTATTTCTTAAAGGAAATGCATAATTTCATTTTGATCATTACCCTCCTCACCTTTCTCGCTCTGACAGTGGATTCTGTAGGTAAGAATAAGGGCTTCGGTTGATCTGTGCACCATCCACATTTCCTTTACTGATAAAGATTTTGCCAGGTTTCATATTCTTGTGTGCTATCTCAATGCTCTGTGGGTTGAAAAAAAGAGTTGTAAAGTTAGAAATCCTGTTGGGGATAATGACTTGGCCAATATAAACAGGAGAGGCATGTGGACAATTTCCTTGGTCTCCAACCTATGCCTGCTACAGGACAAAAGCTGGAGAATCACACGGCTGGTGTCATTCTGGAGGTGTCACATGACCTTCCGGTCTGAGATAGAAAAAGTGCTGCGTACAGAGGAGCACAGTGCTGATCAGCCCCTGATGCTGAGTCAGGCACAGTCGGCCATTTTGGATGGCCCACAGGGGAGACTCGGCTCCTATAACCCTGGGACAGGATTTGTTACCATAGAGGTATTTCCACCCTCCCTTCTCTCTCCATCCTACCACCCCCTAAGGAAGAGTTTTTCAAACTTTGAGAAACACAGTAAGCTATACAGTTTCTATCATAACTTAACACACATCAACATATAGACTCTGAAAGTTCACAATGTGTTTTATGCACTAGGATCTGTTCCAATTTTTTTTTATTTTAGTTTTTTTATGCTTCTTACAACCCATGAAATTGATTTCATAAAGCCATTTATAGAGTACTAGCCACAGTTTGGAAAACAATGTCGCAAAGAAATTTCTGCCTTTGCCAACTGGATCTCTGGATTTGGGGTGGGTGGGTGGTGGCAGCGACTATATAAGAGAAGGTAGAGAGAGGCTAAACCTGAAAGGCACTGAAAGGCAAAGGAATGAAGAAGAAAACATTAGCAAGGATCCTATACAAGGAAATAATAAACTGGAAGGCAGGAAAAAAAGGAATAATAAACAGGTACCAAAACCATAAATGGGAGAAAAGTTTGGGGGTACTGGTAGAAGCACCATGTCAGTCTAAAGCTGCTATAGAGGACTTAAGAAATGTGGAATTGATAAATTAGATCTCCTTTTATGTTCTTTGAAAAACACAAGGAAAGATGGGGATTATTTGTAATTACTTTTGGTACCTTGAGGGGCTGGTATCTTTTCACGTGACTTTGTGCAAGAACAGGCTGCATGGGGCATTGTTGTTTATGAGGGTCACATACAAATTGCCCTGTCTCTTTAGATAACTGCATGAGGCTTACTGCCACAGAACGTGCTCAACAATCAATCCATGCGTCAGGCTTAACAGCCCCACAGCTCAGGACCAGAAGCTACAAGGCAGTCAGGCAGGGGGAAGGGTGGTAGGTGCTAAGACTGCATTCAGACCAAGATCCAATAGGGACTGTCTCCACAGCACACTCCTAAAACTCTGTGCCCTGGGAAGGAACAGCGGCCTCTGTCTGGGGTTCTCTGCCTACCTGCATGATGCCAGTGACCATGTACTCAAAAGTTCGATTGCTAAATCCTTCACTGGCGATTACAAACACGGTATACTGGAAATACCCTGCTGGAGCCGAGTGCGTGTGAGTGCCACTCAGGATAACATTGTCTCTCCTGTACAGGGAGCCATATTTCCTCTGCAGTCTGTTCAGGACCTTCAAGGAAAAAAAAAAAAAAAAAAAAAACAAACCTAAGAAGAGTGATAACATAGGAGCTTAGCATGAGAAAAGGCTCTAATGAGTCTCATCACTGATCCATACCAATGACTTCCTTGTCAAGTGGCCCTTCACTCTATGTCCAATCACAGTATATCTACAGTACATATACTGGATTTTGCCATGTATAATGAGTACTTTTTTGCCCAAATTTCTGAAGGAAAAATAAGGATGTGCATTATACATGGGTAGTACTAAGGATGACTACATATCGTAAATTTGTTACCGGTACAAAAAATTTCTGGTATCTTGTATCTGTTCTTGTGTTTTGTAATTATTTGTTACATAAAATTTCTTGCAACATAATATGTTCAACAATAAATGCTAAAATTTCTTTATAAGACAAAAAATGAGTATCTAAATATAAATTTTTAAAAATTGAATTAAAAAATTAAAATGAAAGATTTTTTTCCTGAAAGTTTGTTTCCTGAAAGCCCAAAACATGGATACACATTATACACAGGAGCACATTATGCATGGCAAAATATGATAGTTTATATAATACATATATAGCTTCAGTATATCATCATAGTAATAACAACCATTGCAATAGCTAACATTTTATAGTCTTATTATGTGCAAGCACACACAATGCTAGATATTGCATATATTATGTCATTTAAAAATCATTACAATAAATTCAAGAAGTATGTATTTTTAACCTTGCCTTTTAGCTGATAACATTGAAGTGTACAGAAGTTAAATAATTTTCTGACTGACCTAATAAATAGCACAGCCTGAATCCAGATCCAAGTCTCTCTAACTATAGAGTCAGTATTCTTACCCATTCATCTTTCTATAAAAAATGGTAATATCCAGGTACTGTTCTAACTAGGAACATATGAGTTTCCAACTCTGAAGAAGTTTTTATTCTAATGAGGGAAAGATAATTAAAATAAATAAATATGTAATATTATATTATATTATATGGTGATAAATGCTATAAAGCAAAATATTGCTGGGTAGGAAAAAGAGGGTGATTGGTGTTAGTGAAGAAAGATCTTTCCAAAGAGATTACCCTTCATCAGAGCTGTAAATGAAGAGAGCAATCTCGTCATGTACTACCTGAGGGGAAAAGCATTGTGGGAGAAGTAGACAGACCGTGCAAAGTTCTCTTTACTGCCTCACTTCCCAAAATGCACTCAATATTCCCTGACACAGGCCATTACACTTATTGGTCTGGGGGAAGCCAACGCTATGACCTAATGACACCCCAGCAATCCTGTGGAGAGGTCCCTGTGGAAAGGAATCTTTCTGTCAGCACTAACTTGCTCGCCATGTGGGTGAGCAACCTTAGAAGTCGACCCATCTGCCACAGGCAAGCCTTCAAACAACAGCCATGTGTTCAACCTTATGACACAGAAGTGTCATACAGTTGTTAGTTATTAATTAAAATAATGAACCTATATACTAATTATATACATAAAATAGTGCCTGACTCATCACGGGAACTATGTTAAGTGTTAGATTTCATGTCTATAAATCCCCAAATCTCATTAGCACTTAATTTGATTTCTTACCAACATGTAGTCTCACTGCCATCCCACTGGTTTAGGACTTTTATGCCAGGCTCCCATGACATTGGAGAAATTCCTAAGCAGAGTCAAAAGCCTTTCTGCAACTCTAGCTTCCCTTTATAGCGATTGCAGCCTTCCAACACCTTGTAAAACCCCGCCTTATTAAATCCCCTCTGTTAAAAATGCATAGTGTGATCACTGTTTTCCCAACTGGACCCTTGCCAGTAAAACCTTGACATTAATTTAAAGATTCTGCCCATTTATGTCCTCACCTCTAGTTTTAGCCTATTTCAATGCACCTCAAATATTACCATCTGATTAATCATCTTCAAGCAAAATTGTGATTGCATCACTTTTCCATTCAAAAGTTTCCTAAGAATCTCTATCACGTACAGAATTAAAAACACCTGGAATCCAAGGACTTCTACAATTATGACCAATACACCTTCCAGGCCCATCTCCAATAACATGCCTACATGTGTTCTAATAGAACTAACCTCTGTCCCTTCAGAGAAGAGTCTACATCCCTGCCTTGTGCCTCTCTGTGTTCATATCATCCTCTCCATTTGACACCTCTCCCTCCCCATGTTAACCATTTAAAATTCTGCCCATTCAAGTGTCACTTTCACTTTAAAATTTTCTCCTAATTTCCATTTACTGAATCTCCATGTAGTGGTTTTAAAATACTGTATGTCCACAAATTCTTTGATACTCCTGCTTTCAAGAGGTGAAGCTTAAGTTTGTTACCCCTGTGTGTGAAATGGACTTGCTAACTTGTCTCCAGGCAACAAAACAGGGTGAAAAAGATGCTACGCAACTTCTGAGCCTGGGTTGTGAAATGCGTTGTGGCTTCTTCACTGCTCTTTCACTTGAACTATTCATTCTGAGGAAAGCCAACTGCTCTGTCATGAAGATAGGACAGGGCGGGAATGAGGCCTTCTCCCAACAGCCACATGGGTGTCTTCTTGGAAATGGATCATCCAGCCTCAGTCAGACCTTCAGGTGATTGTGTTCCTTGCCAACATCTTGATTTTAAGATGACCTAGGCAAGAACTCCTTAGCTAGGCCACTCCTGAATCCCTGGCCCGCAAGCCACTATGCTTTGGAGCTATTTGTTACTCAGTAATAAATAACTAATTCACCACTGTACTTCACTCCAGTAAATTAGTTATTCTCATAGTCCTGTTACACACCTTTCTTCTATTCCCCAACTAGGTAGTGAGCTCATAAGTGGCATGGATTATGACTCATACAGATGTGTGTCCCCTGAAATCACTAGCAAAGTGCCTTGCAAAAAGTAGGTTATCAATGCATTTTCCCTTCAACATAACAGAATCCTATTGCTTTAAAAATGCAAGCTCTGGGCCCTGGCCGATGTGGCTCAGTTGGTTGGAGCATCATCCCATAGCCAAAAGGTTGCAGGTTTGACTCCCAGTCAGGGAACATACATGGGTTGGGGGTTCAATCCCCTGTCTGGGAGTGTACAATCCCCAGTCAAGGTGTGTACAAGAGGCAACCAATTGATGCTCCTCTCTCACATCCATGTTTCTCTCTGTCCCTTCCTCTCTCTAAAAACAATGAAAAAATGTCCCCAGGTAAGGTTTAAAAAAAAATAAAAGGAATGTACCCTCTGGGATCAGGTATATATATACAGAACATATATATATACATATATATATATAAAATATATATATATATGTATATATATATGTTAAAATCCAAGCTTTACCATTTTCAACTGTGTGAATTTGGAAAAGTTAATTACTGTCTTTAAGGCTCAGTGTCCTTATCCATAAAATGGGGAAAACAATAGACCCAGATCTGTTCCACTGTAAGTGTAGAGGCAGGGAAAATACTTAATCCCCCCTCCCCATGTTTCCATAAATGGAAGAGGCTCCCATTCTACTCCCCAAGAGGGAGTGATATTGGAAAAATGCTTTTAGGTTCTTCCATCATCCCTCTCACTAGACCCTTCATACAGTGGAGGAACAGTGTTTAATAGGTGAGACTGACAGAATATGACACCGAATAACAGACATTCAGTGGTCACTGATCTGGGTACTCCAGCCTCGCCTCACCTCTTACTTACCCATGAATATGCAAGCAGGCATTAAGAGAGTACATTCACTTTCTATGACCTGATCTGAGGCAGAAAATTCAGCTGGGTCAGGGCCTCGAAACTGTCTTAGGGAGACAGACCTGGAGACCCATGTCCACCACTCTATTTCTCCCACCCCTCCTCATCTTCTCTTACTTCCTTTTCTCTCCCCTTCTCTCTCTCTCTCTCTCTCTTTCTTTCTCTCTCCCCCACCCCCGATCTATCTCATCTCTATCTACTCTATCTCTTTCTCTTGCTGTCTTACAAGTCTCAGGTGGCCCAAGACGCCCCCTCCATGCACCTTTCTGTTAAGCTCAACTTTTCCCACAGGTAAGTAACAAAATCTAAATTTGGGGAAAATCATAGAAGACCTTATGGATTGTGCAATTTTCTACAATCAAGTTTAAAGATTACAAGAGCTGACTTATTCTCTTTAAATTTTATTATGGAAATTTTTAAACACACACAAAAATAATCAGAATAGTATAATGAAACCCCCATGTGTGCCTATCACCCAGCTTCAGCAATTTTTAGCCAACTTCATTTCAGTGTTGTATTTTTAATTCTCATCTGGTTACTTAGATCTATTCTCAGTTATCTAAAAACTTGAGGGAAGAGTTACTGATTAGTTGGCATTCTCTGACTTCTAACAAGGAAGATTAAATGAGAGAGTGTATATGAAGGTCCCCTGGAACATAATAAGCTTTCAAAAAAACATTAGCATTAATATGACGATGTACCATCAGCAGAATTGAAAGCAAATTTTGACCAGGATAATTTGTGATGAAAAAATGTGGACTGGATCAATCTCCTCACCCACCACCGTCTGCTAGACTGGCAAGAGCTTACGATGTTTCAGGTAGCAGGAACTTACTAGATGAAAAACCAGGAGGGCTTAGCTACTCTCACAATTGCCCAGAGACCTTTTCTTTTAAATTGTGTCATTTCTTTCTCACAATCACCACTTACCTCCAGCCTTAGTCGCTGGGACACCATGCCTATTTCGATGCTGACAAACACCATTCGATTTGACCCATCGGGCTCCGCCATGACAAAAGCACGGCTGTACAACCTGGTGAGGAGGCCTCGTGCATTCTGGCCACTTTTGCCGTAGCCCATCTGCAGAAGAAGAGAGAATCAGGGGCACTGTGCCTCACAGCCTCTGCCCCAGCCATTACCAGAAAGCAGGCTCACCCATGGAGGAAAAGACTACCACTACTGAGGAAGGAGAAAAAAAAACAGTCCACATGATACTGAAAACTCTGAGTGAGAGCATATGCATGTTTTCAAGTATAAAGGCAAAATCATAAAGGAGGATTTACTCTTCCGTATAGAAAAATATAAAGGCAAAGTAATGATAAACTTGACAGAAGCTATTCACTGCCCTATGGGCGAGGAAGGAGCTGGTGTGGCTCAGAATTTTGTTCGCTGTACTGGAGACCTTCCAGGGCTTCTCGGTTTTTTGAAACAAAACCTTCTCTCCTGCCTGTCTAAGGTGCTATACAAGGAAATAGCTCCTTTCCCACCATACACATTGCCCATGAATATCCTGAAATCGAAGGCTTCTTCTCTTTTGGTTACTTTGATTGTTGATATGTGTTTGTGTCCGTGTGTGTGTGTGTGTGTGTGTGTGTGTATTGGTTGATGTTTTGAAAATTTGTTGTGTTTTGTTTTTGTTTTTTACCTGAAGAAAATGGTTTCTTTATGATTAGGTACTCTTCACTATGGGTACCTAACCCTGGCTTTCCCCACATTATCCCTCCCTAAGCCAAATCAGATCAAATACACCTATACTAGCCCCTTCAAGCACCATGTCATAAAACCCATCCTTAAAGTATGCCCAGGTTGTTAGAATGCTCCCTCTACTGCTTGCTTCACCCTCATGTGAGTGTTTATTTACAATTACATTCCAGAGTCAGTTTTCAGAACAGACAGCAGGGAATAGAGTTGACCCTTGAACAACATGGGCTTAAACGGTGCATGTCCACTTACACATGAGTTTTTTCAATAAATGCAGTCAGCCCTTCAAATCCACAGGTTTCACATGCATGGATTCAACCAACTACAGACGAAAAACAGTATTCTCACATTCCCAACCATGGGTCAAAAATACTGATTTTGATCTACAGTCAGTTGGGCAAGTTAAAAGTTATACATGAATTTCTGACTGCACCAGGATTAGTACCTTAACCCCTGCATTGTTCAAAGGTCAGCTCTAGTTCCTTAACTCTAAAGATTATTTGGTAGGAGGGAGACATTCCCATCGGGCAATCTCATGCTCTGATTTCCTAGGGAAACGTTGATATAAACAACATCACCATCATCATAGTCAAGAAGATGCACGCTAGCAGCCAGCAGGACACACCTAAAACACTGAAGTGTTTTTACTTGGTGTACACAGTATTGGTCCATGCTAGGTTTCCATTTTTAACTAACTAGAGTTGCCTACATTTTCCAGTTGAGAGATTTAAATCCTGAGGCCTTCAATCTAGAGATTTTCTGGCTTCTCTTGAAAAAATTGTCAGATACAGCAATCCAGAGTCCACCTTCTTACATGTGTACATAGCAATAATCAGCTAGAGCCATGCACTTTCTGGTTACACCATAGTCCACACAACTTCCTACTGTCCCCAAATTGAGGATCACTAGATATTATCACCTCCCACTGGCCCGTGTCAATCATTTATGGTACCTGTCCATTCTCGGTAGTATTTGAGTTTCCCAGCCCAGCCACTTCATAAAAAACGGGCCAACTGCCTTTACAAGGGAGCTGTGGTTAAATAAATGACCCCCTCTTCCTTATAGGACAATGTGCAAAGTGTTACACATCAGTGAAGTCAATAGAAAAGCAAGAAGATGATGCTATAATAATCAGGAATAAATGCCGGATTCAAAATAATAACAGTATTATTTCACAGTCTCTTTGAGAAGCCCATGATTTACCTACCATATTGATATCTGCTATTTGTCCTGTGCAGTCAGCTCGCCCAACACCAATATGGTAGCCACTGAAGTTCTGAAATAAAGGAGGCTCTGGGGTACTAGTCACTGGCGACCCCTCGGTGACTGCCGGGCCTTGTGTAAGTGTTGAGCCTTGAGGGGCTGTGGATCCCTGGGTGGTTGGTGGGCTCTGGGTGGCCTGGGGGCTCTCAGTGGATGGAAAACCTGAATCTAAAAATAGAATAAGATATTTGAGAAACAACCATTCAGCCCACTTATTTGTCAGCATCAATTAGAAAACTTAGATTCAGGTTGCTAAGGAAAAGTCCTTGTATGTTTTCTTAGGTATAAAGCGCATGGTAGAAAGCATCTCAGGAACTTGTTTTATGTCATTCCTAAAGATGACCTTTTTCAACCAAATAATCCAGGCCACCCTCAAATGTCCTTCAGCTTCTCCTCACAAGCCATTCCTTGCCCAGCTTGTTGCCTTTCACTCACTGTGCACTTCTATACCAACCAAACAAATCAGGTGCCAGGTTCCTGGCATGCAACCTACTAAACCCAGCCTCTGGGGATTACCTTCCACCATTCTCTATATCCAGAGCCCTTATTCCTTCCTGCTCCACCCACCAATCTCCAATGCCACCCTCAGAGTTGGTTCATTTCCCTCATGCCCACATCCAGCTCAACCCCTCATCTCAAAGATGCCACCCCAGTTGTCTCTGCCCTGCTCTGATCTTCCTCAACCTTCTCAAGAGTTGTATTGTTTTTCTTAAAGACTTATTCTGAACGCAACCTAGATCATCATACACTTGTTGACATAATTCTACCTAATGTTAATGATTCTCCTATCACCATATATGTATATGTACATACTATATTCGTTATATATATACACACACATACATGTACCCAAATATGCAGGAGACAGAATGGTAAAGAGGCTAAGTGGGCAGGTGCCAGAAACAAACAGCCAGTTTTAAAACCGACTTTACCAATTACTATCTGAAAAAATGACTTAGGCTATTTCACCCCAACTTTCTCATCTGTAAAACAGAGATAATAATAATACTCTACTTCCTAGGATTGTTTTGAACAATAAGTATGTTAATGCATATTAAAAATGTAGAGCAATGGCCTGCTTATAGCTTTGGTTTTACTTACATATTTAGACATCTTACATATACAGTTTACTTGTTTGTTTTCAACCCCGGCAAGGGCCAGAGCTGGCCAAGGCAGCAGATGTTCAGTGTCTCAAGACATTAGTGATCAGGAAGTACTTAGGTAAGAGATTAACAGCTAACTCATCATGGGATCCTAGAATTTTAGAGCTCAGAAAAAATTTAGAGATCACTTTGTCCAATATCCTCAGTTTTACATGCAACAATACTAAGGCCCAGAGAGGGACTTAACCAAGATTTCATGGAGAACATATGATTAATCAGGTGCCCAAACTAGATCCTCCGACTCAGAATCTGATATGATTTCAACCACATTCCAGATGGAGTTAGAAACTGTGTCTTCTCCTCACCAAGCCCACATTCTCTACCAGACATCAAGTACTTCAAGAAAGAAAGCAGGAACGTTTGTTATTGCTTCATTGATACCGATGTAGGAATGTGGTGTTCACCCAGGCAAAGCTTACTTAGCCAAGGGAAAGTCTTTTGTGACCTGCTTCCCTCTCAGTAAAATGGTACTAAGACCAGCACCTACCTTCCTAGAAGCTTTTGCCAAAAAGTAACCCTTCAATAAACAGCAACTTCTACTGTGACGACAGTTACTGTAATTATTGATAACCAACCTGAGTCTCATTTTAAGAGCTAAAACTAGATAAGCCCTACAGATCCTTTCGTTTCCAGAGTCCAAGACCCTGCTCTGCCCACTGCTGGTACGGAGGATCTCTGGTCCTCCGTGTTTTCAGGGAATTCAAAGCACAAGGCATGGTAGAGAACACACTGGAAAAGACAAAAAGCCACAGAAGAGAAAACTGAGGTGCAAATGTGCCATCTTCTCCATTTAGCCTGAGCCCAGCTTGGGCATGCTTCAAGCTGCCCAAGGTTTCTTAGCTCAATCCCCACCATTTCTCTACTCATTTAACAGGTTTAAGATAACCTAACCCTGAAATAGAGACTTAATAAAAAACCTGTGGCCCATTATTGCCTGTAAATAATGCCTAGAGAGTGCTCAAAAACTAAGTTCATTTCTAACACTAAAAAAAGAAAATAAAAAGATGCCTAAGCACCCCATTGTTTAGCTTCTCTTGAAGACTCAGGAGAACTGAGTGTATGTTTATCATAACAACAAACAGCAGGCACTCAGGAGGGTCTGTGGACCCTCTTCACCAAAATCGCAGCTGCCCCCCTCCTGGTCCACTTCCCCACTTGACCTTATTGACACAGCCTGATTGGCCCTCCTAAGGATTTGAATTTAAGACGCCCATCTTTAAGGCTTTTTAAAGACACATTGATACTCAATGGATCTTTTATTCACCTTTTGCCCCCAGGAGAAGATGATGCCAAAAAGAGGCAAAAGGAAAGAAGAAAATCAGGGCAAAAGCTCATATCACTGGGCCTTGAAGAATTCTGAACTGTGCTTAGATCAGTGGAAAAGTAGAAGACAAATAACTGCATGTCAACTGTGGGGGCAAAGGTAAACTTGATAAAAATTGCTATCAGTGCAGAAAGAGCAATGTAATATAAAGGATAGGTGGCTATGCCAAGCATCTTAAGTACATATTGAACTATCATGTCATCAGCATTATCAGCAGACACCATTTTTTGCCTTAGTGTCCCCAGTAATCAAGGAATCTCCAGCAAGCCGAGGCACAGCATTTAAGAGAGCCCACGACACTTGCCTTTGTGATTTTCAATGGTCCCGCTGGTAATAAACAAGAGGGTGAGAAGAGCCACTGTGATTGCAGTCATCATTACAAGGAGGAAAATCAGGAACGTCTCTAATGTGGAGAAGGTACGTTTAGCCATTTTTCCTAGAAAAAGTAGAGATAGGAGAGGTAGAAAATGACAGAATCACAAATTAACATGCATATACTTCAAGCTGCCCAAGGTTTCTTAGCTCTTTCATGTGAATAGACTGTACTAAGCAAGTAGAGAACACACTCACCACTTGTTCCATATCCCAAGCCCATTACAGACAAGACCAATCAATAACAGAACTCTTCGATAGGTTCAGATGGGGTTTCCAAATCCTTCTCAGGACAGCGCTCATCGTGGCATCCATCACTCATCATTTGGCACTGGCACCTAAGCAAAAATCTATTTGCATCCCTTGGCTACACCATTACTGCTTTCATTTATGGTGATGATGTTATTTGCAGATCTGTATATGGGTCTAGGTTGGCGTCCTTCTGTCAATGACGATGACTGATGTACCCACTTTGTTTGTACTTGTGAGAAGTCTTGCCAAGGGGAGGGCTTTCCTCTGTCATTATAGACTAAGTAAAATTATCTTGTCCACATGGAAGTGAAACCCCTATCTTTAGCATTTAAACTCCATGTTCTAACTTTAAATACTCCCTAATATGAAAATGGCATAATAAAAGGGGGTTGGCATCTCTGTCTCGAGACAGGTGTTAATAAAACTTTCTTCTTTGGTAACAAAAAGGATCTCACACGTTTTTGCAAACCCTGTAGCAAAGGATGAGGATGAAGATAAAAATAAAAATGTCCACATGTTCTACAAAAGCAGAAAATGTGCTTGTAAGTTCCTTAGGATATTTGAGGAGGGGAATTCATCATTACTCAGAGGGACTACAGAAGCTAAGCAGTCATATAATATAACAGGAGAAACTATATTGTGGTAGTTAAAAATTGGATGCTGACGTCTGACTCCAAAATTTAAATCGCATTTCTGTCACTTACTGCAACTGAACTTGGAAAATCCCAATAAGCCTCATTTTCTCCATCTGTAAATAGGAAAGTGATGATGATAACTTTGGTACCTAACTCACAGAATTCTTTTAAAAATAAGAGGAGACAGCACAATAATAATTTGTTTGTTCCATGGAATGTAACCTGTTCAAAAGGTTGATGTTCATCGCTGGGCCCCAAAATGGCAAAGACCCTGTGTTCTTCACGGTCCTTAATGGGAGCACATATGAGACTACTATTAAAGGGTTATTGGAATCACAGGTGGGGACTTGAGAGCCCACGTTTTTAACCCCTACTTTAGGAAGCCTGAGCAGTGACATGGGATTGGAGTCCAAGGACTTGCCCCCGAAATGGTGTATGTAGCTAAGATGTTGCTGTCCTGAAGAGTTGTAAATTTGCAACCACTGTGTTTAGTATTGTCCAATTTTTTTTTGTTTCAATTTGACTTAGTTGACAAGATCAAAGATAAACCTTAAAATTATTTTATAGAGAACACATTTACATACCTGAAACTCCAAATATTCTTTCAAAATACTTCATAAAATATGGAAACACTGAGCCAGCATTCCTATGTGCCAAGAGTTTCAAAACTTAGTGGGTGCTGCTCCCTTTAGATGGGGCATGCCTTCTCCAATCTGCCATAGTTCCTACCCAGTGGGCCTTGTCCACCTAAGTTACTGCGTGGTCTTTGTGATTGTCTTATTTTGAAACCCCTGGACTAGAGGTTAAAAATCAGCCTACCAGCAAATAGTTCAGAGGTAGGGCTGAAATGGGAATAGACTATGAAGCTGGAACAACTTCCCAAATTTCCAGATTATCAGTAGGCTTTCCTCATCCATACAACATGACCATCATCACCTTCAACCAGCAGCAGTAACAACTTCAAATTTAGGGCAGAACAAATTAGTTCTATATCTTGGTCCCAAGTTTCACTGACAGCTCCCAAAAGTCAGGAAGCACATCTAAGATATGCCTCTGAAACTTTGATGATCCAAAGAGGTTTATTAGCCATTAGCTATTGTTTCAGTAGTAAACTTCAAACCCAGTATACCAAGTTCTTGCTCTAAGTTTTGGTTTCTATAAGCCTTTCTATTGGCTGAGACAGCTTCTGTACAAAAAAGGCAATTAAAAATGGATGACTGCCCTGGCCAGGTGGCTCAGTTGGTTGGAGCATTGTCCCATACACCAAAAGGTTGCAGGTTCAATTCCCATTCAGCATACATGCCTGGGTTGCGGGTTTGATCACCCATCAGGACAAGCATGGGAGGCAGCCAATCAAAGTTTCTGTCTCACATGGATGTTTCTCTCTCTCTCTCTCTCCCTCCCCCGCATCCTTCCTCCCTTTCCCTCTTCCTTCCTCCCTCCTTTTCTCCCTCCCTTTATCTCTCTCTAAAATCAATGAAAACATATCTTGAGTGTCAGTCATCAATTAAAAAAAAATCAATGACTGACAGCTGAACCTCCCAACCCCAAATCACTTACAGGCAAATTGTATATGTAAATATGGCCATGTGGTAGGAGTCCATGTAATGAACAGACATGGCTTTCGTTGTTGTTAATTTTTCTCTGTTGACTGATTATCACCACCAGCCTTTTGCACAAGTCAACTGTAGCACTTGATGTAACAGTAGAGTGTCTACCTCTTACTCAGATTTCAGTACCTCAGGTTTTGTTTCCAGAATTACTGCCAACACATGACAATTCTTTTCAAATCCATTAGCACTATTTATTTCTCGTTAATGATTAAAATCTGAATTCAAACTTTAAAGTTCGAATTCAAATGTCTTCTCTGTTCAGAAGGCAAACAAACCTTGCAGAGCTGAACGAGTAATTACATTTTGAAGGATTATCCATTTCCTAATGGTCCCCCGTTAATCTAGCAGAGTCCTAAAAGGTCAATGATGAGGCTCTAATGCAACAACAGCAAGCCGATTGCCACATCTTTACCATGCTGAGGTCCCCACTTCTCAAGACTGTGCAAGTAAAAAGTAATAATTTGGCAAAGTGGGTTTCCAAAGCTAAGAAAATGAGATGAAGATTTAGGGTTTCATTAAGATCTCTGAGGCAGTGGGTGGCTCAAGATCCACCCTTCCCTCTCCAATTCAATTACTCAAAAGAATTTTTCTTACCTTATTCAATTACTCAAAAGAATTTTTGCATCAAGTAAAGCAAATGATGGCCCAGGATCCTGTTTTCTTTCCCTTGCACGTTGCTCAGTGAAAACTTCTCAGTACTTTCTGGCATCTGTGAAGGAAAGATTTTTCACAGTGATGTCCAGGAGAGTTAGAGTTATCATTATCAAAACTTTGTGGGCTTGGTACAAGGATAAGATTAAAGCGTATTGATAACAAAAGGCTTATATGCAAACTCTCTCCTGGGCTGGCCTGACTCTGAGGTAGAAGTTGCTAAAGGCCTGAGGGACTGAAGGTCAGTTCTATGCAATGTCTACAAGCTGGGTCACCAACAAAACAAGAACAATAAAAATAAACCCCACCAGCTTTATTTACCACTGGTCACTCAACCACATAGTGAGACAGGATAGTAAGAATCTAGGAAAATTTCTGGGCAAGTGGAATGAAGGAACGGAATGAAAGAAGAAAATTAAACAATGTCAAACAGTTTAGGCAACTTACAGCCAGCTGGTGAATCACAAGACCTTATTTCCCCTAACCAAGGACACTCAAGAGGAAATAGTTTACTCCTCTCCACTCTAACCAGAGAATACATAGCTTAAATCTCCCTAGTCTGGGAAAATAAAGAACAGAGACCCATTCAATCCCATTTGTGCCAGCTAAACTCAAGGACAGATAAAGTCAGAGGAGTAACGATAACTCTGTTAAAAATCAAACAGACCCAAGATAAAAATTAAACAGTATAACAGACCAAAAAATATTCCCAAGCCCCCTTCCCATGTCCTTATTTTGACACATCAACATATTAAAAATGCATCTGGAAAGCTGATGAATATTCTGATGAAACCCTCCCCTAAAATCTCACCCACAGAAAGAAAGATAAGAAGTCCTCAGGAGGAAGATGGCGGGGGGCGGGGAGCTGGCTCCGGAGCTGGCCCTTGCTCCTTTCTGGCATGCACTTCTTACTTCCTGCTAAACACCAAGGGCCCCATGAGACTTGTGGGCTGCGGGCAGCGGGCAGCAGCAGCCCCTCCTGGGCTTACTCCCTGATCCTGGCTCCAATGCCCCGTTTTCTCTGACTTCCCAGGGAGCTAACAGCAGCCCCACCTTGCCTCACTCCTCTCCTATAATATTTCTACGGAGCCGAAGCAGAGCATTGCCCAGGCTCTCTCCTGTTACTCCTTCTACCCTAAGGCCTTCCTTTGTTTCACTGTCTTTAATAAACTTTCTCTCAAAATCACCTGAACTCATGTGATTTTGAAACCTTTCCTACAGGATGTCAAGAATCCACACACTACAGGCCAGCCTGGGGCAGACCGGCTCTGGCCTGGTCCCTGTCCAGCAGCAATAGCCTGGGCTGTGGATCCCACTGGGCAATACATACGCCAATTTCAGAACAGAAAAGCATTTTCATTTTTTAGATTCTCATGTGTAAAAAAGAAGGCAAAATTTTAGATTAAGAAGGTGAATAATGAATATACAACAGAGTAAGAATGCTGTGCAATCATTAAAAATTGTATTGAAGAAAAAACTTAATGACATGAAAAAATTGCTAATAATAGGTTATTTTAAGTTTATAAAACATTTGATGACATTTGTGTAAAGTATACATTATTTATATAGATATGGTCAAAAAGACTAGAAGAAAAATACAGCAAAGTGTTAAGAAGCAATTATCTGGTATTAAGATTATGGGTGGGGTTTGGGGTGGTTTTTTTTTTAATCTTTTGACTCTTGGTATTTTCCGTAATAGCCCTCTAACACTTTTGTAATGGGAAAAACAAAATGTTTACCTTCTCTTGGAGAATATATATTATATAACAGCATGAAGTTAAACAATGGCCCACAAGAGACAAAGAGAGCAAGAAATAGGCTATACCCCTCTGTTTTTCCAAGTCAACCCAAGCTGTCCAGGAAATAGTTTGAAGAAGATTACGTAGGCCACTTAATTCCTGGCAGAGT